ATTGTTCAGTGATTTTACAATAACTATAATCTAATCTTGCATGTAATGTTGCTTCAGCTGAACCTGTTATGCATAAAATTATTGTATCTAATCTACATGTATTTCGATTTAATATTCATTAATATTCATTGTACTAGCGTTAGTTTACAAAAACATAGAATGTAAAATTTATATATATATATATATATTGTGAAACGTATGATCTTCCTATTTCTCGATTGCCTTAAAAATTCAGCAAAATATTTTACGAATTATCTTGTTAAATCGTTCGACTTCACATATTAATAATTTTGCAATCAAAGTGCAAGAGCTTGCACAATCATCGTATTCAGTATTAGAGTAATTAAAGTTCTCTTAAAATTCTGGAACATCCTGTAGCTATCGCATTAAATTAATGAATTTCACAATGTCCAGAGAATATTAATAAACCTACAATAAATTTCGACAATTTTCGTTCGGCATTAATTTTCTCGGAATGAAATATTATTATTAATATTAATGTCACGTAATAAAATTTTGTCATTAATTGTGACAAAAAGTTGCGAGCGCTATAGTCCAATAAATGTCGAAAGTATTTAATTCAATAAAGTACAGTTGGAGTGGTAGCTAGTTTCTGTCCACCTCGCTAATATTTCAAAAGCATCCCCCTAACGCTCTTCATATTATGATCCAACTGTTCTGCAAGCGGAGCAGCCCTACCACTCCCTTACATATACATATGTATATGTATACACGTAACCCCGTGTAACCTCTACATTTCTCCACCATTCCTGCCGGGTGATCATGTTGATTAATAGTAACTATTGCTTTCCTCAATCACGCATCGAAATTACGTGTGATAATTAATTAATTTTTGGCAATTTAGAATCTCTATGCCCCTCTCCTATTCTCTTACAAAGTGTACTTTCTAATATCAGATAATTCTATAATTATTCTAATAAAATCTTATTTTCCTTGACACACGTTTGCCATTAAATATCGAAGCTATTTTAAAAAAAGTATTACATACGTCAATCAGAATTCGTCGAAAAAGGAAGATTCTGATGAAGAGATTCTTCCTAACTTAAATCTTTCATTTCAAGCAAATATACCGAGAGTGAAGAATGTAATCTTTAGAGATACGTGATCCGAATTTATACGTTCGTAAATATCCCTCGTGCAGACAAACCGATTTAGAACACTGTCAAGTATCTGATAAGTTGGCATGCTCGAGGTAGCCGTTGTTCCGTGGACCATTTCCCAGCAAGAACGATCTAATAAATGTAGAGGGCTGAAGAAATGTCTTTAAAAGTTATTTCCCGACTTTTCAAATCAAAGAAAACGTCCTCATAGTACACGGTACACAGTATGAAAACACTGCACTGAGAACGTTGTCGCTTCTTTTTATAAATAATACTCGAGCGTTTCTACGGACTTGGCGACCCGAATCGACAAACTCGTACCATAGATCGTACGATCCCTGCCTGTACAACAGTTGACAGTCGAATTTCTTCGAGTGGCAGTCTTGTAACTGTCTAGCAAACTGCCATCTGTCAAAAGGTAGCAGGTGGCCGTGTCGTCTGAAAGGAAAAAGCAGCGTATAACCGAAACACAGAGAGCTGGAAAAGGCAGTTGCGCGGCACTTTCGCCTCGAACGATCTTCCCCGCGAGAGAGAGAGAGAGAGACGAAACTTTCCATTCTGCGGGTAATCTCGCATTC